GCGAAAGCGAGTTTGGGAATTTCAAAGCAGACATCGCTGGCGGACGACAGATGCATGATGACGGTCGAGTTTCGCATTTCGATAGCTACGAGCCGGAAGCCGAAATCGCTCTCCGTGTATTAATGATTATTCGCGCGGCTAAACGAACGGGGCGTCTGTTGACACACATTTTATGTAAATCATTTCAGACGTCAATTACAACTACCACTTACATAGATCTTTTAATAAAGAAACAAAAATTAGCGCTATCAATTTCGCAAAAAATACAGATTTTTTTTTTGTTTCGAGTTATCTCGTTTTCAAGTAAACACCGCCGTTGGCTCTTTCTTTTTATCTTTCCTTGAATTTAATTATAATGTAGCCTTGAAGTCTTTGGAAAATAATAGTCATTGAATTAATAAGTAGTCCAAATAAAGAAAGTGTATAAATTACTTAGCACATGAGAAAAAATTATAATATAAATGTATCTAATAATTGTAAATGTAAATTTAACAAAGATGACCGGATACATTCATTTAATGACAGAATATATATAAATTATATCATTATCAAAGGCGATAGTAACATTATGACGTTACGATACGATCATGGAAAATGATCCATCTAATTGCGACTACTCGCACGTCATTGTAAGGTCGTTAAAGAGTAACGAGCGTCAATTTTATCGGGCGTTACTTCGGCGAAAGAGGATGTTTTCTCCGCTGCCATAATCATCCCGGTTAATCGCGCAACTTCAGGCCCGTGCTCGGAATGGCGAATGTGTCTCTACTCGAGAGGAGAGTCGTTAACCCAATTGATCGATCCCGCGAAGCCCACGCGTTCCCCCGTTCCTCGGTGTACTTTCACCGAAAAACGCGAGAGCGCTTTTACTCTCCTGCGACCTGAAATCCCCGGGCGAAAATTAAGCCCGCGACCTCGATACCCGCGCCGTCGTCGCCGTGGTCGCGCGCGCGTCAACTTGAATATGCATGCGAAATTCCATCCTGTTTACAACGAGTATCTGGCAAGCACAACGGCGGCGACCGATCGTCACGCGGAGTGACACAGATATTTTCTCAACCTCTAAAAGGCACCTACGGCCAAGCGAGCGCGCGAACAGGTATCTCTCCTCCCTCTTTCTTATAGACGGCGAGATCAATTCCACCCCGAGCGCGCGAAAACAAATCGTTGCGCAACGCAACGAGCAAAGTTATTATGGGCATTAAGTCGCTTGTGGAAACAAGCGTAATCAGCGTAGGTGCGGTCCTCTAACTCACAAAAGGAATCGATTAAGAACCGATGCCGAGCTCGCGGGTGAGCTTTACGACTCTCCGAGCTCTTTGGTCATGCGACTCGCGGTTGAAAACAAATCATTGCGTAACAAAGACTGAAGTTGTTCCCACATTGACATCAGATCTCAAAGGCATAATGGCTTCCGAGACGGCAGCCAGTTCGAACCGATTCCGAGTTCGAGAGTTCAGAACCGGTCTCTCTCCCCGTCACGTAGTAATTCCACTTCGCCGAGCTCGCGATCGAAAACATATCGTTACGCAATTGCAGGCGAAGTTATTCACGCAACATTGTTTACCTCCTTATTGCGCAAAAAGTCACTTGATTTTTTTTTACATTTGTAAAATTTAACATCTGTATCCGTGTATCCGCAATATCGACAATAAAAAGAATTGAATTAATGATACGTGTGGGTGTGTGTGTGTGTGTTATACGCAAGCAATGCATTAGGTTAGGCATGATGATAATGGCAGTTTGTCGGTGATTTAAATGTCACACCAGTGTTACGACTATCCGCGCTAAAAGTGTTGACTTGTCGCCCGCGCTGTTAGAAATAACCGTTTGCACAAGAACATTAGAAGTACATTAGGAAACTGCAGTTTGTATGTACATGCAAAGTACGTGTGCGAAGTACGCGTGGCCTGTTTCCCTTAAACTTCCATAACGACTTTGTGCCTGTGCATAAAAGTGAATAACCGCGTCTAGCGACGCTTGCTCGAGCATCACGCTATTAGGGTACGTGTGCTTGAAACTATTTATACAAGAGACAAAGGGATAGTGATAGTGCACACCGTGCAACTCGAGTTTTTTTTTCTATTTAGCAATTTATCGGCGATTAATTGAAAAGAGAAAACATATAATTGTTAAAAATCGACCACTGACATCTAGTCATGTATGTAGTTTCAAGAAATTTTAGAGTAAAATCTGGAAAAACTGATTTCTCCTTAGCAAACAATATGATTGCGATCTTTAGTGTTTTACGAAGCCGTTATCGCAACTTAACTCCGATCTCGCGGCGACAGAATGTTACACCATTGGAGTTAGATAAGCGTGAAAATACTCGATCGGACAGCAAACGATCGACGACCTCGTTGGCCGACGACACTTTGCACCTGCAAATGCAACCGTCACGTGCGCACAAAGCGCGGCAGACATTGAATGTCTGTTCACCCCGGACACTAACTGAACGCTAATGATACTCGATTTAATCACGCGCACCTATATATGTACGCGCGTGCAAATGTGTATTAATTATACCGCCATAACTTACGCGTAGTCCACAGAAATGTCGACAGAATCTGTCTAAATTATATCCGACATGTCGTTTAAGTAAATAGATAAGTAGCGGAGATTGCTTTTACATATAATAAATCGCGAGTTTATTTATATTCAATAATGGTTTCAAGTGTTCGAATTGGATTACCGTTACTACATTCGATGCTAATTATACATCTTCAATTTTGTTAACTATTTAAATTTCCATTTCGTATTTATTCTAATTTGCTTCGCAAATGCGAATTATATGTCACTGCATATATATATATATATATATATACATATATGTTACTGGACGAAAATTCGCGTTTTACTTACGGATTACCTACCCCTGCCATTCATTCTCGTGTAACAAAGGTGTACGGATCATTATTTCCCTTTTCCACAGCGATTCAGCAACACGCGACTACGAAATGCAATCTAATAAAGCCGCTTTATCGCCGCGTAACGCACCGTGCTTGCTGTGCAGTACAAAAGTCGGTGTGCAACTATGCGCCGGAATACGGGCTACAATTTGAATGCTGCACAGCGTCATTTGCATGTCAAAGGAGAGTACAGCCGATTATGCTACCCGGCGCGGACGCGCGGTAGCAATATGATCGCACGAAGGTCGTAACCAGAACACGCGGAATTACGCACACGTGATTCTCGTATTCGTGAACGAAGCCACCCGCTGATCCGCGTCCAAATATAAACCCACGTGTCAGCATATGAAAATTGGGCCTCGTAATGCCGGAACGGATGAATAAACGCGTGCAATTTTCGACGGCGAGAAGTTCGACGACCGCTGAAATTGGATAATGAGCAACGCCGCGGTAAAATTGAAGGGAATCGTTCTTCGAGTTAAATTACGCAATAACACTGTAATGACGATTACGTGGAGGAGTTGTGTGACGATTCCATTAGAACTGAGGAAGGATACGAGAGAAGAAGGATTTTAATTGGCATGATTAATTTTTGACGTCTTGTTCTTTTCCTAGAAATTCACGTATAATACTCATCACTGATTGACAATAATGCCAATTATACACGGCATCAAATTGTTCTGTAATGCGATCTCACTCACGCATGATTATATGCATAAAAAAAGTGAAAAAAAAATTATAATTAAATTATAGTATGCGTGTAATATACATGTAAAAAGAAATGTATAAATTGTAGAAGACAGAACGACTTTCTATGTCATTATCCTTCTCTCGTCAGTATCCTACACGTATACATACAACAATGACCTATAATAAATCGATATGACAGCATATACAGATATATAATTAGGATAGCAATTACGTGACGTTCCTCTCAAACGCCGTATACAATTCCTCGGAACAGGTGGCTCTATCGCCGATACGAGATGACTGACATTCCTCGAATATTCGCAACTGCGAACGTGACTCTGCGGTACATTCTTTCGCGAATCTCGTTTTACGTAAAAATTCAATATAAATGAAAGTTCGGTAAGATCCGAAGAATCCTCCCGAAGAAAAATGAATTCGAAGAAGAGAAGAGTAACAATAGGTTGCCGCGGCGTTGATATTTTACCATTCTCGACGTGGATTGATTATTTTTGCATTGATGCATCTACGCCACTTTCTTTCCACTTTCCCTTCAATTTTTGAAAATGAAAATAGAGATCGTTTTTGGCAAGTAAGTTTTATAATAATCTCTCTTCAAGAATATTTTAAAATGGATACACTAACTGTAAGCTTTTTCAATTTCTGTGCACATTGCAACGTGATATTGATCCGTAATTTATTGAAAGCAAGAATTTCAGATGCCTTTTTACAAAGACCTTCGATAAAAAAGAAGTAATGGAGCATCGCTATATAAACCTAATATTAAGTGATCGATAACGAGTTTCCATGATGTTTCCATTATGAGTGAGTTTTCTGTTAAGTCTCGAAGTATACCAGCGTAATGTAAAAATTACAAAGATCGAGGAGCTGATACTATCCAGTATCTAGTATTATGATTAATTCGAGGCGATATTAACGGTGTTGAGTAAAAATAGATAGATGATAAGGTAGACGGTAGATAAGTCGGAGTCGTTAAAGTTTTTTTTGCATTCTCATTGCATCGCGTTGACTCGCCACTTTGTGGTAATAGTCACGTAAGCACGTAATTTTCCGTGCAAAATTAACGTTGTAATTTTCATGTATCTATAAAACATTCCTCTTGGTCTATATTTAAAACGCGTAACTCCATACTTAACGTAGATACGGATGTCACCTATCGAATGATTCATTCATACATAGAAACTTTTCTAAATTTATCATTTACGGAATATTGACGGCAATTATGGTCCGCACAGACGTGAGAGATTTATATTAAAACATATACTGCAATTTCTCCACTGCTTCTTAACAGAACATAATAGTCTCTCTTCATTTTATGAGTACTAAAAGCATTTTTTGTGCAAACTCACGTATCATTGTATACAATTTTCATTATGGACTCACCTTTTCGTCGAGATTGTTCAGATCCGGCAGCTGAAAAAGAAAACACAAATTGTATTAGTAAAATGATAAAATTATAACATACAAACTTATCATTTCGCATTTTAATCAATGTATTTGAAATTCGAATCAGCAAAATCAAACGTCGTTACATTACGTTCGCAAATCGTTAATCGTAATACAAGAAAAAGGAATTATCTCTCTCTTTCTCTCTAAACGGTTCACGAGACACGTTATTAAAAATTGCGAATATTATTAGAATTATAATGAGATTAAGGTATTAAATTTTAATTAATGTAAAACCGAAAATTGTAATTTTTAATTAAATTGTGAGAGTAAAACCAGATCGGATGGTTAATCTCGCCAGCCAGATGCAACATTGTCGATCGATGCAGCATGTATTCAACATAAATTAACAATTCATACGAAGTCGACGTAAATAACAAAACTATAAAGAGAAAAGAGGTGGCTCGTACGCCACCTATCCAAGTCATTTCGAAATGATATCTCCGGCTTTACCGACGACACAGCCAGTTTACATCGATCCGCACGTGTTACAAGAGAAATGCTCTGCCACCGCCGGCGAGACGCCCGGCGACGTCGGCAGATGCCGCCTAGCGTCACGAAATTGCGAGGTCCCTCGCAAATTGAAGGAAATTGATGCCAATTTGTATCAATCAGCCGTCGCGGCTGGTTACATTCTCGCGAGCTCTGCACACAACGTGTTGGGATTAATTTAATACTCGATGCGTCGGACTGCTTGATTAACTTTCATGGTCGTCGTATACGTGCTCCGAAAGAGAAAAGGAAGCATATGCCGGAGTCCCATGTAACATTTTCTGCGGAAATCGATTTATCCGATACGTAGTACAAATACGAACGCATTTCGCGAGTCAAGAAAAATTTATATCATCGATTTTGCCATACACCGTTAACCGAGAGCTTTTCAGAACGCTCTAAAAAGAAATCGACCGTCAAAACATATTACGTTGATATAAAAATCAAACTGTTAATTTAACGTAATAATAAAATTAACACTAAAATACCTAATGATATAAAAACAAGAAATATTTTATAATATAAAAATTCAATGGGTTTCTTTTTATACCAGAAGAGGAATACGGACTACGGCTAGTTCTTATTATACGGTATAAAATAACCCTGGTCCGGGATTCATATTGAAGTGCGGATGCCGCAGGATGAATTGATCCGGTCGGTGGATCGGATTATCGGGAGAGCTCGGCTATATCGATTAAAGTTTTTCAGCGGTCCTTTTATGTCGTCTCCTACCGTTCATCCGGACAATATCGAAACCGCTGACCGTCCTCGGTCAGCGGAATCCGTCGCCGCTCCAGTAAATGCGTAATCGCGCATAAATCAGAGCGCGGGGAAGGAGAGCGCGGAGCGCCGCCGCGCGATGCATATTTATGCGCCCGCAGCGCCGAGAAATTAAATTCACACATTTCATCGGCCCTATAAAGCATGCGCATATTTCGCGCGACGAAAACGCTGAGAATGCAAGTCCCGCGTGAGAGGCGGGGGGGGGGAGGGGGGAAAGGGAGCGAAAGGGACACAGAATCCGGAAGAGATTCGTGCTTCCCGTGATCTCTTCCATTGTCCGCGCATACTAATTGGATTGCCTTCATTAAGACATCCCGCGAGCGTGGGCGTTGCGCGACGAATTCATTAACGATTCAACGCGGCGGGGCGCGGCGACGTATAAAATTTTTGTACAGCCCATATATCTTTTCGCTGCGACAGGGCACCGCCGACAGCCGTATTCTGGATTCCGGCATGCGACACGCGCGAATAAGCATAAACTGTCTCAGCTTATACTTATTCATAAGATTCAGATTATACGAGATATGACATGCCAAATAATTTAACCAGGGCAGCCCGGTAATATTTCAAATAACGCAAAACAATACATTTTTTATCTTTTTATCAATCCCATTAATTTCTAGCAGTTGTTTGCGCAAAATATGACTGAATCGGATTATAACAGAAAATTGGGCCTTAATCGATTTCACATATTTTTCTTATAAAATTTTAATAATGTATATAATTATGTAAATATAAAATTGTACAATCACAATAAATAATTTTGTGAAATTCAAAACTTAAAAATTTCATAATATAGTTCAATTTGAATATTAAAACATGCATAACGTGATGTAATATAATATTACTAGTGTAAGATCTTTACTGAGATATTTGTGCGCTTCCAATTGACTGACAATGAGCACTCGCCATTGTCGATCTATTTCGATCCATTTGACATTCGTATAATTCCACAAGTCTTCGTCTGATTCAACCGTCGTGTGCGCAAGATTGGGAAATAGTTTAATGAGCTGTAAGTAGGTAATTGCGTGCGTCTAGTGCACAGTATGAGAGTAGTAAATAGGTCGACGGTTACGAAGATCTATTAATGCGTACGGCTTTAATCTGGAAAATAAGTAAACTCAAAAGAGAGTGCGCCTTAAAATATGTAAGACGGATAAGTCGGGCCGACCAGAGAAGAAACAGTGCGGGTCAATCTTTTTTAATCGGTTAGTTTCTAATAAAATTCACTCTATGTCAAATGTAGCGAAATTGAAGAAGTCTACTGAATAAAAAAAAATCTTTCGATAAAATTATCTTTTCCAATATGATGTCCTTAAATTAAGCACTATTAGAACAAATTTTTAAAAGATTACAACAAGACGCAGCGTAAACACATTACTAAATATCATACAGCTATAATAATTAAATAAAGACGCACTTAAGTGCAACAGTTCCTGCAACAGCTCCTCGAGAATGATTTGCGGATTTGCAACGAATAACGGGAAACTGACGCGAAAATAATAGCAGTATCTTGTTTGCGTTTTATTAGAAACATAAACAAATAGCACGTTGTTGATTATGCATTCTCGCGGTCTGCGGCTTCCCCATGCATAATCGCGCTTATATACACGGGATATTTGGGTTCACTCCCAAATCTCGTATGCGCGCACACAATTTGTTGTAACAGGCATTGTCGCCGCTTGACGATGACGGCACTTTACTGCGTGCATGCGATTTACACGACGAATAAACTTTGATTTACCGGCGCGCAGCTATCTCGCCGAACGAAATTTCTGCCTGTGCATCCGCCACAAGGGGCAAAAAAAAAAAAAGAATAACGACGTTATTTTCGCCGGCGCCGTAACGTTGAATAATCCATCGATTAGACCCGCCTTTTCGCGACTACTCGATAAAATCAGCGTCGTTGCGTATTTCACCTCTCGCGGCCGTCACCGTTTCGCAAACTGAAATTTTTCGCGATATTCTTATCCGTTCCGGGAAAACTTTTATCCGTAAGCTTGAAAAATTTAACACCTCCAGGGCGCGTTATATAGCGAAGTGTCTGCATCTTTATACTTCTACCGTTGTAAATGGTATAACGAATAATTTCGAGCGATGCGATATTATGAAATATTCCATCTGTGGAATATTTCACGAGTTAATGTTGCAAACGATAGTACTCCATTATAGTGGTACATACGTTACTCATGAATAAACCTTCGAACAAGTCGAATAGTAAATTACACGTTACACGTTTTTCGCTTCCGATAATTTCGCGCATCGAGCGAGATTGACAAATAGTAATAATTAATGAAGTAGACCGATGTCGAAAATACTAATTACGTTATTTTATAGACACACAGCGTATTGTCACACAGAGTGTTCTCTAATTATTCAAATCATTTTACCTCTGTATCGTCGAATTATAATAATTATGTGACAATTATTTCCAGACGTGCATTCGCTGGCTTATAATCACGTTACGTTCGTCACCAGTACCCCGCTGCGAGTTTCTCTCTTATTCCGGCATTTTCGAACAACATTGTTGATTAAATATACAAAATCTCGGCGAGCGGCTGCAATCTTCCGTGAAATTGCACGAAGTGCAGTACCGTTGCAGGTTAAAGAGACTGGGTCGGCGGGAGAGTCTCTTTAGTATTACCAGCCTCGTTCAGGAGCAGAACCTCCTTCGTTTCAGCAGTAGAATTCGCCGATACCTTCGCGCGCGCGAGCGCGAGAGAGAAGGAGCAAGTCACCCGCACGCGTAAGCACGGGTAGAAACTGACTCTCCCTTTGAGGTTCTCTCTCGGTCTCGTTAAACGAAAAAATTTACCGCGAGCCTCTCTCGTCTCGTTGAAATTTATTTCAACTCGCCTCTCGCGAAGCTCTCATCCATCTTTCCGGTCCGTAAAGTAGAACTCGAGGTAGGTTCCGAGGGTCGCGCCGCACCGGGCCGACAGACGTAAACTCGCGCGGGCACGCAAGACCACGCGTAACGAATTTACGACCACCGACAAACGAAAGACGTTCATATAACGGTAGCAATGGCTCTCAATACCAGTAATAGCAGTACAAGAAGCCAGAGAAATACGCACGGTAAATATAGACATATTTGCCAAGAGAGACTGAAAAAAATTTAATTTTCTTAGTAATATGCTATTTAAAAAAAGAGATATGTATATGTGTATATCGAATGAACACCAAGCACTATAATTCATTGATATCTCATTTAAAAAATATATTATAACATCCTCCAAGAGTTCAAAGTCTCGACTCTGACTCACCGATAACATCACTGCTGTTATTGACGAGTTTGTTTGGCATGTTATGTTCAGATTGAACAAATTTAGTAATAACAAATTTCAAATAGATTTAAAGAATTTCAAATAATTTTCAAGTAAATTTATATACATATACAATTATTATATAATATATATCAAATTTATTATAATTTTAAATATTATAAAAATAGTACTAAAATTATAGAAATGGTGTACATTCGAAATAGATAGAATTGTTATTTTATAAAAAATTGTTATTTTATAAAATTTCGAAAAGGAGCGAAGTATCACGAGTACGAAATTTTATAGATTCAAATAATAATTTAAAATATCTTCCGAAACAACATCAAAATGGTGACGCGAATTGTTGCAATAATTTACACAGAATGTGATCCTGTCGATAGTATCACTTCAAAATAAAATAACAGGCGCGCAAGAGCCCACAAAGTCCACGTAACGGTACGACGGTTTTATTGTCGCGTCATCTTTAAAAGAATCTATTTCTCGCTCTTCAAACTGTTATATCATAATCCGATATTGCAACGTACGAGTGCCATCACTGCGGATATAATATAACGGTGCCAGCTCACGACGAATATTCCGCGATGCACGGACGATCAGATGTTCGATGAGCGATTACGTTACAGACGCGATTACCGTCAGCATTCTTTAATGACAGCTCATCGGACGTTTCTTTGGAGGACGGTATCCTCCAAGAGTTCAAAGTCTCAACGACTTTGCCTCGTCGATAACATCACTGCTGCTATTGACAAGTTGTTTCGCAATTCTCGAGACTATACCTTTAATGTAAATTTGACGAAGCATATTTCGGTGGAATCCTCCATAATACATAACAGACTGTCGTACGTCTTGTTTGTGCTTTAATCGATAGCTTAGACATATCGCGAGAGAAAATAAACTATCGGATCGATAATTTATAAAGGATATATCCATCTCCTGCATGCGAATACTGTACGTGAATAAATTCGTAAAAATTTTAAATCTCTGTTCTTCTCTTCTATTCTCTTCATCTTCTATCTTAAACTATGTTATTTATATCATGTTTTTTTGGTAAATATTAGCTAACCAGAAATCTATACATATATACACATATACCTTGTATTTCTGATATATGTCATATGAGGAAAAAATTAATTAATAAAAACTGGTATTAAAATCTTTCTCTCCCGACTTTTTATCTCTTACTATTGTTACTTCAAGGTTCTCGCATGTTCAATACTATGCTTCATCTCGCAAAAGTGGCATTTGAGCATTAGAGAATTAAAAGGAGAGAGAAATAATGTCACACGCGGACATTGAAGTTGTGATATATGTAAAAAGTGACGGCCTTATCCGCCTTATACATATGAGGTTGCCTTTTCTGCCGTCGCTTCGCAGCATCGACAGAATACAAATGATAGGAATATTCCGTGCGATCAAGTTGTTTCGAGTTCACCGACAACTTCTATACATCGAGGAGAATATTACACCCGTCCCTCTCTCCACCCCGACTTTATAGTCCCGCTGCTTGTCCGCGTGGTCTCGCGAATTCGTAGCCGGCTGTTACTCGGCTCTTAATCTAAAGCCTAACGATACAGCGAGGTCCATAAAATGGGCTAGGATAAATCTGCAGTGGCACAGCTGCCGTACGGAACTATTAAATCTTAACAGCAGTCGGTGTAACCGGCGCGGTTTCTGGGATGGAAGGGGGAAGATGGAAGGGAAGTGAATCACTTGTGCCTCGATGCCACCTGTAGCAAGTGGTTGAATCAATCACCTGCCAACAAACGGAGTAGTTTCGGATGTTTTTTTTTTCACTTATTTACTTTTTACCTCGTCTTTCTCTTACACATACAAAATGTTTACAAAATCTGAATTACGTAACATTTAGCAAAATACAATCATGTTGAATTTTGTATCGTTACATATATCGACATGTATCTTACGCAAGTAATTCTCGCTCGCACAACTATACAGTTACAACAAAAATCAGTCAAATATTCTCATTGTTTATAACATTGAAAATCTTGGATAACATCCAAACATCAATGTTACCTGTCGCATTTATTAAATATTACAACTTATATTAAAATATTTAGTTGCTCGGTACTTTTCGAATAAGTTTCGAAACTCTAGCAGCTCGCTGTTGTAAAAACCGCTTTGTTCATCATGTACTAAATTAAGATTCTCTTCGACGCGTTCAAATTTTTGTAAAAAAAATTTATTTAGTCGTAAATTTCACAGAATTTTCGACCTGGCGTAGAATCGATAAGATCAAATTTCTGAATCGTATACTGTAAACACGATGAATCTTATATATAATCATAGCAATAAACCCTGCTCTCTCTCTCTCTTTCTTTCTTTCTTCATCGGTCAAACAATTAATCGCGCGATAATCTCGTTTTACGCAATTTCAGATATCTTTCCTCGAATGACATCCAATGGTCGATATTTGATATTGTGAATAGCGAACCTTTGCTCTAATAAAAAGAAATTTCCGAAAGAATTACAGTATCCATCTGTGATTATGAATACTATAATATTATAATATCTTAACATTCCTCGAGCGCACTCGACTCAAAAGATTCACGTTACAACCATCGTTAGCCATCAGATATATCTTGAACGACTACTGGGACCACCCCGACGTAAGAATATCGTATAGGCGGATACCCAAGTACACTCGTAGCTGAAGATCAGTCGAAGGGATAAGGTTGCCGATGCGAACCTCTCGCGTTCCGTCATTGATCGATGGGTGGAATCGGCGCGATTTAGCCCCCGATCAGGAGCCAGGGCAGGAGGATGGTGACGCAGAGTGCTGCCACGCAACTGGACAGCATCGCCAGGGGACTCGCGGCCGTCTCCATCTCCGTGTTCTCCGACGAGCCATAATCCTCGTCGGGCACGAATTCGCGTATTTCCACGTCGCAGCGGAAGCATACGCGCGCGGTGTTGCTCTTGAAGTGTGATCCATCCTTGCGCAACACCTGCGCCCCCGAGCCCTTGCGCTCCAGTTTCCAGCCGGGCTCCTGCATCAGCATCATTTTATATTCTCTCGTCAAAATTCGAGTATTTCACGCTCAACCGAGTCACGCCTCGCAATCGCCTTTGACTCTCGCCGGACTCGTTCAGATTCTCGAATATCGCGAGATATTCGCCGAATATTTCGCGCAAGAGGGAAATAACGTTCTCTCACGGAGAAAACAGTTGGTTTAATTGGTTTCCAAAGATGAGCGTCGCTTCTGCGAACAATATCCCCGCGCCAGCACCGTCGTTGTCTACCGGAAGATATACTGTCGATACCTGCAAAGGAAAGTTCTAACATAAATCGGTGAATTGCACACTGCACACGACGATGGCGGTACTTTAATAACAAGATCGATCGCACACGATGGTTTAAAGGGGCGATCCTACGTGACAAAAAGTTTTTATCAAGTTATCATATTGTACAGTTTCTTTTGTTTCTTGTTTCGATTACGTGACGGGTCTTCAGATCATTGGCTGCTGGATTATTGCAGATTTATTCTCCAAAATTAGTGGAATCATCATTGATTTTCAGTGCATTTCATTTTCCAGTGACATACTTAGTCATACATTATACGAAGTGAATATTTCAATGTTCTCTTATTGTTAGTGATAATATGCTGATTCAAACAGTGAATATCACTGAAAGACAGTGAATTTCAGTTTTCAAAACTGTTTGACAATAAAACTCACTGTCTTTCATTGATGTTCATATATTATCTGACTGAGTCCATATATTATCACTAAAAGAACATTAACATATTCACTGTTTATCAGTTCTACGTATGTCACTGGAAAATAATATATACCGAAAATCAGTAATGACTCCACTGATTCACTTTCAGAGAGTAATTTGACAATATGCGTGTGATAATATTTTTAATTCAAACAATATTTTATATTATTACATAACGGTTATTAGATATTTTGAATCTCCCTCTATCTCCCTTGTTATTTCATATGTTACATGCACTTTTGTTCGGACGCTCGAACGCAGTATAGCTGCTGCGGAGTTTCTAAACCACCGCAGCAACGGCTTATCAAACGTGTCACGTTTTACAAATGCATTACAGAGCCTCGAGCAAAAAGCTAGAAACCGTTCATCGTAGTTCGTCGGCGAGTCATCGGCTTCCTGCCGGCAGGAACGAGTATTAATCGAAGCAACTTCGACAACTTCGCCGGACAGTTTCCGGCAGTGGAGATCGCAGATACCGCGCACTGTTAACACAGCCTCGGCCTCGGATCGCCCACACTGCAAACCCATATTCACGGATCACGAGCAATCTCGTAAATGCACCGAAAAACGACCGGATAAAAACCCGGCCTGCAGACCCGGCACCGAGAACAATAAAATATGGTGAAATTGCAAATAACAATCCGCTTTTATATCGTATAATGGAAAACGCCCGCGTTTATCCGTTCGCGCAAAATCCCAAATAAATACCGTAATTATCTTAAAATAATTATCGTTCCCTCGTACGAGATAACGCACAATTTTCGAGGTAATAAAAGTAACATTGCAAAAAATGTCACCCCATTTACGGAAGCCAATGGAGATTTGCAACAGTACTAAAGAGTACTTTTTTATCGTCGAGAAAAGACGTTATCCTGAACTCTTCCCGATACCGACGCAATTAATTCGATCCCATCCATTTTTGCCGGACAAAACACAAATCGCATCCATTAAACATTTAACGTAAACGATTGAGGATTGATGCGAATTAGAGAGGTGCTTAAACGCAGACGAATTGTCTATTTTGTACGCTTTGTTTGCCTCTATACTCAATTTTCTGTTCAAAGCCCTGAAATAGTCAGTGTCGCACTGCAGGTAATTAAACTGCAATTTGCCATGTCGATGATTACGGCTTGTCAAATTAAATCCGTTCACATGCGAGGCTAAACAGATCGGGTGACAATGCAGCCTAATTATAGATGGACGACGACTCACACCGACACTGACGGTAAGCGAACATGAAATGTGAATTCGTGATTATGATTATTCGGGAAAATACACGAGCTTGTGCGCTCGTCTATTATCGTAGTCATCATTCTATTTCTACATTAACATCAGGATTTTATCGTTTACAACGAAAACAAGATCACATAAATTGCTCTTAATATCTCAATATGCAGTTTAACGAGTTAAATCGTTAATAACGAGTTATAATGCAAGAAAAAGCAAACTTTATAAATATAGATAATTGTTTTACATTCAGGTCATTTGAAGAATTGGACTTTCAATATCTAAGAACAAATTGACATTAAAAAAATCATTTTTTCTAGACATTGCATTTTTGGAATTTATACTGTGAAACTTTAAATATACCATCGAAAAGATATTTTGAAAGACATTAAAAAAATTAGAATGTTATCAAAAACCAATATAGATACGAAGAAATAAAAAAAAACAAATTATCATTATAAATTGAGTTAGTTGTCAAGAATATTCTTACGTTTCGCAATAAATACTCTTTTTAAAATATTCTGCAACATAAAATGTTTTTATGTTTTTTTTTAGTGCAAAAACTTGCTATAAGAAAAGTAATAAGACTTTTTTGATATCTCTTATAATACTCATTATACGAAAGTTTATATTATAAACTAGTTATACAAGTTCAAAACATTTTTTTATTCGTCTATCCTCCGTGATTATCCAAACTTATATACTGCCAGTTAACAAATATCACATCAGTGTACGTATAATTCGCGTATTAATTATAAACTACACATATTCGTGTGTTAATTATAAATTACAACATAAATTTAAAGTACATTGCACCAAACTTCGTGAACGATACGCATTGGCATAATGAGATAGTAATTACAATATTAATACTCTTGCATAATTTTGGGAAAGTTACGCGCCGCAGATATCGTTTAGCTCGTCAAGTAGTTTTTGCACATAGCGAAACTTTTAATTGCTTAAATTTGACCGTAATAATCGTATTCCCGATAGCTAAAGGTAACATACTTGCAAGCAGGCTTCATTATCGCGATGAATTTTTTAATTTTCCTGGGGCAAGGGAAACGCAAATGGAAGATCAAGTGCCGCGAAGTATTACAATCATTTTTCTTGAAAGTAGTAAGACGAGGGTAACAGAATTTCCTCACGATCCGATATTTTTTTGCTTGAACTTTGTCGCAAGAACAATGACCACATCGATTATTGAAAGGTCGCTTCCCATTCGTGGAAAAGATTATGATGCAGAAATTAACGTATTAAATAAAGTCAAGTACGACGTTGCTTGAACAATGGACGGTTTGTGAATGCAAACAATGAATATCACCGAGCAAAGTTCGATTCCATTTCTATTAGTTTAATGACGTGATTATTGATCAAAGACTTCATTTTAAACTAGAATTAAAGATAAGTTAAATATATTGTATATTGCGATTTCGTTTCAGTATTTTCACTAAAAAAGAGAGATCTATATACGATACATCAGAATTAATGAATTAAGAATGACAAATATAAAATTGTTTTTTCACATAACAATAATAAAAATTATTTCACGCAGCTGGTTTTTATTTAAATTTTTATTTTTATAATAAAAAAGGTGGCAATATTTATTTTTTATCGATTCACTGTTCCATATCTGTCATATGTAGCAGAAAAAAAATGCAAAATAATTTTCAGTAAAAAAAAAGCCGCTAGAATAGATATAGGAAAAAGAAGAACTTTTGTCTATTACTATTTTACTATAACTTTTACTCTATTACTATTTTCATGAATAATTTAAATACTCTATCCTATTTTTCTTAGTGAAACTATGTAGAGAAAATTGTTTGTGCAAAAAAAAATAAAAACATCCATTTATTAAAAGCATTCTTTACCTACTTATACGCAAGATATAAAACCAAAATCTTAGCCACTATTCTCGAAAAATTTGACTGTGGATTATATAGTTTCTTCTCCCGGTTCAATCGTTTGAAAATTATTTTCCTTCAAAGCGTGAACATACTTCGCGCGAGTTTCCTCAAGCTTCTTCTCGAGATTATTTTATTCTCAATGAAAGCAGCTAGCACGTCGATTCATTCGGTTGTAAGACAAATTACGATGCGGATTTGAGCCAACCGGAGGATTTTGTGCTGATAAACACATTGAAGTTTCTGTGTTGAGAAAACGACGCTTTAAACTTGGTCGAGTTATCGTAGACCGGAAGGTTACGAGGTTCTTCCAGTGACGTGATCGAGGCTGCTCTATGGCAAAACTATCACTAACGTAGCCAATAAGATAAGCGTTGGGTGGCAATATACCGATAAAATATTGTCCAAAAAATCACTGACCTATTTGCTAATCGTAAATCACTATCGTCCGTAATACTGGAAACATTATAGGAGCATTACAAGAATTGACGACACAAAGCAAACAAAGAACACTCATGTTGCCGCAATGACGATAGCCATCACCAAGTTGGAAAAAACGCGTAGCATTTGCGAACAAAGTGCAAGGGTAAAGTCCTCGCGACGCGATGATAATTTTGAAAGAATTAACTTGCCCGAAGTCGCGGAAGGCAGCGGCTATGCCTATTTCTCGTCGCATTCCAGGGCAATACACTTTCGAATACAACAACTGTTGTACTACTTTCTCCGAATAATTAAGGATTTTGCAAAAAGCGCGTTCCGTTATATAGACGCTCTTTACGTGCTGCGAGGCAATCGCGTACTTAGCGACGCTGCGAATAACGCCGTTCTTCGAATAACGCCGTTGCGCTATCGCGAACGAGATAGCCCGCGATTTCTCTGACATCTATGCGAAGCGTCATCATTTTCCTTGATTGTAAAAACGACACGTGCCATTCGCAACTATGTCAACATAAATACAGTGTGAAAGAGCTCGGTTAAAAAAAATAGGAATCTCGTTTGCAATTAATATTTCCGCTATTCGCGACGACGCGACGCATCAAATGATGAATGTATAAAAAAAAAAATCCTTAAAAGGTCAGAAATATGGGAAAAGAAGTTGTCTTGCAACTTCCTCCAAATGACAATAACAAGACACTTCGTACGATACCCCGCGATTCGTTATCTAAAATGTTTATTATCTCCATGTATAGCTTATTATCTCTCGGGATTGCGCGGTCGAAAACGAGAACTCAAATAATCGTACGCATAACGGAGGACACTTTGTTCTCGCGATCTTTCTAATTGCGACAAAAAACCAGATTGACGTAATTAGCGATAAAAATTACAGAGTAATTGGACACTTGCCTTAGAAGTAAAGACAAAGACAAACACGCTTAGAAAGAAAAAGAAAAGAGGCTTTTAATTATTTCAAG